TCCGCGGACCGGCGGTTGGGGACCCCTGCTCTAACCTATTTAAAGTTATGGTGCCACATTTTCAAGCGTTCCCTAGGCTCTCTATGTGCTCAAAGTTTGTCGAATACATTTCACTACTTTAAAGGACTGCAGCCCTTTTAATGTTCATTTGTCATTAGGCCTAAATTGCAGAGTGGGGGAGTGAAGTCCAAAAGGACGAGCTATAAAAACCTACAGAGTGTAGCTGTGCTCCCAGGCAATTTAAAATGCAAAACAAAAACCATTATGTCTGAGCGCTATCTGTTAATTTAATCCCCAATGATTGATAATCCACCACGTAGGGCGACAACCACATCCAATTATTCTCTCTGGCTTGACTGACAACAGAGGTGATTTATCAAGCTAATAAAAGGTGATGGGAGTATAGAGGCTCCCTTAGTATTAAAAAAAACAAAAAAAAATCAACAACAACAAAGATTATTAAACTATCTCCGTGATATGTAAGCATACGGTCTAGAAGCGATATGTGGTGTTCCTAATATTATGTAGCACAGGGGTCCACGACGGGGGCCTCATAGGTCATCGGAGTCTGAAATTATTATTATTTATTTTTTAAATCAGCAAACTGTTCATCTCAGCTACATGATATAGTAATAAGAAAGTAGCCCCACGAGATAAGTAAAAAGCAAATATGTTCAGAGAGCTTCTTTAGAAAGTGGTAAGGGCCATATGATGAGACAGGAGGAGGGTCCATGATTCCAAGAAAACTAAAGCTTCATTTAAAAGACACGATCAGCAGTTTCAGCAACTTAACATATGGTTTTTTTTTGCCACAGTTGATTCTCGTGTACCAAGCCCAACCCAAGAACTAGGCAGCGACAGGCTAGAAACAGGGTAATGAAGGCTCAAAAAAAGAAAAGAAAAAAAGAAACACTGAATATCTTCCATTTCCAACATCCAATTTTTGCAAATCAGAATTGTTTGCAATGATGCAAACTACAACAAAATCATGGAAAAGACTGGACATCCAGTAATTAAGCAACATACTTGGGTGTCATTGTCTTCCATTACCACAAAACTGGACCAGCTCGTTCAAGAGAAACAAATTAAAGGCTAAAAAATAGTTAAAACAACCTTCTGCACCACGATTATATAGATTTTTAATCACTAGTTTGTATTTATTCCTAAATCGCTCCATCAAAATATTGCATTGCTTGAAACTAATCAGTGGCTCAACAAATTGCTGAGTTGTCGTTCAAATTGTCATGTGTAATAGATGACATTGAGATTTTGCAATAATTTTGTTACGCTGTTTACACTCACTTAAACAATAATTGAACAAACACAAACAAATAGCTACGTCACAAGGAAGCAGTGACAGCTCATACGAAGGCTGAAGTGACAGCCGAAACTGTCAGCTTGGTCAGAGTTTTTCCCTTCATCAAAAAAGACCATTGTCTGGAAAAAAAGAAACTTTAAAGCTAATTTAACAAACAAATAATTGACCTGAGTGATTTCAAAACTCGTAATCCATCAATTTGTTGCGTACAAGTAATGCCATGAGATGATTAAACATTTATTCGGTTTCATTGTTGTAACGGCCCTCCGAGGGAAGACGTAACTCCAAAGTGGCCCGCGACAAAAATTAGTTTGACACCTCTGTTTTAAGGTATACAGCCCTGCCTCATTGGTGCTTTGTCGCATCTGAATGTGAGTTGCAATTCACAGTTCACCTTCTGATACACGACCCCAAATCCACTTTGTCTTTGTCAAAATAAATTTAGTCAGTCCGTTAGGACAGCACCCTTCCTGCCCAAACACAATTGAACACGCACATGAATGCAAGCGATGAGGAAAGGCAGTCTCATCTTGGCATGCAGGAAGCATTCCTGTGGAGTATCATTTACGTAAACATGAGGGCCGCTGACCAGGAGGGAGTGATGATCTGGTAGAAACACTGCAGTGTTGCTCTGACTGTCAGCAACAACAGACATTGTAGGGATGGGGTGAATCAGCAGGGAGCTTCTGGTGCTCTCAATGTCTGATTTCATCCGATGGGTTCATCAGGTATGGCTGATAAGAAAGCAATCGCTCGATTTAACACTTTTTTTTTATTTTTTAGTATGTTGAGTGTTGCAATGAAAATGCAAATGAAGACGTATACATTATGTGAGGGTTACGAGTGACTGTATGGCGAACCCCCCAAAGAAGGATTTTCTTCTCTTGGAACTCATTATACGCCTGTCGTTAAATCCTCGTGCTTTTCTAAAATCAGTCCCTAGGTGATCCGCGAGCTTGTTATTGGTGGGGCCTTCACAGCTGGGAAAACCATCTGGGGGCCAGATCCCACCCAAGAGCAACGTAGTAAACAGGATGCATCATTAAAAACCCTACCTGGGTCTGACTCAAACCACAATGTCTTACCAAGTTAGTAAGTATAAATATTTCATTGGCGGCTCTTGTTCAGAAACATTTGCTGCATGTATATTTGCTGATGTAATCTATTCCTTTATTAATGGCTTCAGATCATTTGAAATACACTGT